GTGCTGGCTGGGGAATTCTGGGAGTCGAAGTCCACCCGCCTTAAAGTTGCCAAGGTTGAGAAACGCTGCTCTAGAGGCTAGACTGATAGGATTAAAAGAAATTAAAGGGACACATACAAGGAATTTTAACTAAAAAGAATATTAGGACTAGAAAATGTTAAGATGAATGAGTCAGAATAATATAAGAATCACCTTCAAAAAGGAAACTTAAAAGTGAAGATACGTGCCACTAAATAAAGCAGTGAAAAACAGCTAAAAAGGAGGCAAGGATTGTAGACTTCACTTAGGAAAAAGCCTCGGACAATTATTTAAACGTTAACTGGCTTTCCTAAAACATTATTTTTGCCTTCCACATATCTTTTCTCTACGTGGAAACCCTGAATATGGAGGTCTACATTTTTATATTGCTTTTTTATATACCGTATGTACCTCCCATTTATTTATTTATTTATTTATTACAATTGAAAAATATTTTAGATTACATGCTTATTTAAACTAAACCTAAAGACACTCTTCAATCAAATTTGATCCCTAGGGACAATTTCCTTGTCTAGACTCAGCTTTGGAATTCCCTGGAATTCTCATCCAAGAGCTTCTGAGCTCAGACCAGTTTGCTCATGGGCTGTCTCTTGGTGAGACCGTACATACACCCACGCCCGCAGGCAAACCCATATAAGTTCTGCTGACGTGCTTTTTCTCCCCTCTCTTATTTTATTCTGCATTTTCAGATGTTCTGATTCTTTCAAGAAAAAGCAACAGAGAGTCTTCTCTATGAGCAATAGAGAAGGAAGGAGACAGCTGACTAGAGGAAGGTTAGGAAGGACGTACAAAAAATCAATCTGAGCTCCTCTATTAAAAAAAACAAATAAAAGAAATCTAACTACACTTCAAAAGATGTTGCCGTGAATTAGGACTTCAAGAAACAGCCTTCAGTTACATAAAACTTTGCAGCTGAAATTCAGTGGAGGCATTAGGGAGGGGGCTCCACACAGAGATCCAAGGCATCGGGTGGGTTCCTGGGTTTGGCAGGGCAACAGACTATATGATACAAAGAAAAGTCTTGCCATTTCCAAAACTGGAGATGTGTTAAGGATTTGGACCGCTTGTTACACAGTCAGTGAGTCTTCAAACACCTATAAAAGGTTAATGTTTTCTTTTTTAAATTGAAGTTGAACATGGCAGTAAGAAAGCTCCACACATAGGGTGAAGTGGGGGGCAAGAGAGAAGGGATGGATTTCCAAAGGCCTAAAACAGCGATCTCAGGAATCCAAGAGGCAGCAAATTCATAGCTGCAACAACAACAAAAAAGACAGAGTTTCTGTGGGGCACAGATTAACTTCTGGAACTCACTCCCACAAGCTTTTGCACATGGGCTTCTGAAACCACTGGCTAACAGCCCCAGTAGCCAAGCAGAAAAACTCACCTTATAAATACTAGCACAATAATTAAAAGATTTGTGGTCTGTCACGTCATACAAGAAGCAGGCAACGTCGCAAGATGCGTCGGAGGCCTTTGCAAATTCCACGTCCGCCTCAATCTCGTGCAGCTGCAGAGAAACCCAGAGAGGAGATTCTGTTCTTTCTGAGCTGTCTGATACTGTCAGATCTAAACGCTGGTTCACCCATCATATGCAATGTGGTTTTTTTTTTTTTAATGAATCAGTGTATCAGACTTACAATTAAATGCTTTTCCTGTCCATTGACCTGCACGGTGTTAATTGAATAGGATGATCCCCTTCCCTCAGATTGACTTTGGACCTGAAAACAGGAAGGAAGGTGGAATATTCTATGCATCTGCTCCAGCCTGATAGATGTGAAGGGAATGTCATTTCAAGAATTCTGAAAATGGCTGAGAATTCTGGGACTATCAGTTTTAGTAGACACGAATGCCATCACGATACACGTTTAGAAGAGGGGATGAGCTGCATTCTGGTGCCTAGAATGATTTGGGCCTTGGGAAAAAGTGGCCATCTTTTCCAGGGCAATGAGCTTCAATTAGACACAACAAAAAATCACTGCCCCTCAAATTCCAAAGATTGGCACGGGGAAAAGGCCAGTGTGGTGTTGTGGTTATGGCGATGGGCTAGGAATGGGAAGATCCAGGTTCAAGTCCCATCTAACAAACATGGGGCAGAAATGTGGCATATCACCCACCCAAAATAGCAGGCTGTGAGCCTAGGACCTCTTGATTCTGTTCTAGCCTGAACTGAAATGTATACTTTGTTTTTAACCTGAATGGAAGACTCCTTCAGGAGGGGGAGCTTCTTCCCCAGTACTTACCCCCACATTATTCCCTAGAAAGGCCTGCAGGAAAGCAGACTTGCCAACCCCTTGAGAGCCAATCACTTTGCAGAAGAAAACGTTCCGGTGGGTCTGGCCTTTCTCCAAGTCAATCCTTTTTTCCCGGGTAACTAGAGCAAAAGAAAAGGGGCAGGTGGGAGAGAAAGGATGTTTAAGGAGAAGACTTTCCCCTCTTGCCTCCCCCACCTATCCTGCGTTGCCTTTGCAGGAATCAGGAGGAGGTAAATTTAACTCCAGGCAGCAGATTCATTTGGCATGCTCCTGCCAGCTGGGTAGCTCACAGCAAGAGCAGGACGGGAGATACTTGCTACAGTGCTGGGGTGGCTTTGTCTCAGGCCTCCAAGCCCATTGAGTTTAGAAGGAGGAGCAGTTCAGTAGATGATTCACCTGTGATGGCATGAATCTGAGAGTCCTGCTGAGAGAAGATGGGGTACCCCAGGTAGCCCAAGTGTTGCAAGCAGCGATGGACATCCAGGTAGGCAATCAGCCTGGGGAAATCCAAGCATAGAAAGAGAAGCACATCCGTTATGAGACCAGACCGCCAGCGGAGGGGAGGGCAAGTGGTCTGACAGGGGGCAGAGAGAGGCTGCGCTTACGTCCACTGGCAGAGGAATCCATGCAGGGAAAGCAGGCCTTTATCAGTGGTGCATACCGTGTGGTAGAGCTCAGGTCCCCAGGGGACGTAGGGGAACACACCAAAGAAGTTCTGCAGCTCAGTGGGCGAGAGGGCGCCGTCACGATCCTACAGACCGGAGGAAAGAAACAGCCCCTTGGCAGCAGCTCTCCCTTGGCACAGGCAGCAAGACCACCATGCCCACAGCTTGGGAGCCTTACCCAATGGCCCAATTTTTCACCAATTTTTGCAAATGCCCAAAGAAGAATGCCAATGTCCCCATCAAGGTCAGTCTGTCTAGCACTTCCACAAGAGGAACGCAAGCTTTAAAAAAAGCACGGCTTCTGGCTGTAGAGTGGTCACCCGTCCCTGACAAGATAGGGGTAAACCGTTCTGCAGTCGCTTTCTACAGGAAAGGAGTGCCTGACACACAACCAATAACCCCCGTTTCTGCCCCTCCGCTACTTACCCTGTCATGTTTCTCAAACATCCGCTGCAGGAACTGGTAGCCAAAATGGTTGAGCTCTGTTGAACAGTCCTGGGGTACCCGGATCCTGAAGGAAACAAGAGCAGAATCTGAGGCAGAGTCTGCAGTCTGATGCATTTTCCTACTAGCCACCCAAGAGACGGGAAACGTGGTACAACACAATCCTGGAATCAGTGCTCAAGAAGAGAAAATGTAGACTCCCCTATATATATGTAGGCATGTAATGGTACCACATGTTGGGATGTCACCGTAGCCCTGTTTGCACAACCAATTTCATGGGATCATGAAAGAGTCAGTGCATCATGAGAACAAGAGAACTGGGTAATCTGACCCAACCAGTTAATCCCATGAAGGTTAGATTTGGCTGGAAATAGCTTGGGTCTGTTTGGGGTAAGCTCATTTCTCCCTAGTCAGACATATTCTCCAGATCACTTGCGAGGCAGTTAACTAACCCTTTTGTTGTTGTTGTTCAGTTGTTAAGTCGTGTCCGACTCTTTGTGGCCCCATGAACCACATCGCGCCAGGCTTTCCTGTCCTTCACTGCCTCCCTGAGTTTGCTCG